CGCGGACGCCGAGCGCGCAGCTGCCTTTCCTGACCAGGTCTTCGCGTGTGGAATCTTTTCTGTTGTCCACCGTCTCGACAGACGCTTGGCTTTCCACCGAGGCGATCCTCCGAAGTGTCTGTCCACGATCCTGGAGAGAGCAAGGCCACTGTGAGGGGAGCCGCACGGCCTCGGGGAGGTCCCCTAGCGCCGCCTTGGGGTGGACCCGGGAGTGCGGAGAGTCCAGGGGCACAGAGTAGAGACTAAGTACGTCGGCGGCCGCCTGGAGTGCCAACGAGTCGTCCAGCTGCTGCTCCGACGGGCTTGCTGGTGATGCATCTTCTTCCTTTGACAGCATCACCCTTCGCTGCTGGTTGGGCTGGTCCCAGGCGGGCGGAGGGTGGGGCGGCGGGGGCGGAGGTAGAGGTCCATCCGAGGCGGCTGTGGGTTGCCCAGGCGCAGCCGGCAGTGGTCCGACGGACGATTTTGCTAGCGCTCTGGCCCCACCACCAACGTCGGGCTGTCTGACGCCCGTCCGTGTGGCCTCACGTGTCCATCAGGTGCGACCGCACTTGCTCTGGGTCTGATCTGGTACCTCCAGGGCAGTTGTACGTCGGTTCGTCGTCCCAGAGAGGGTAGGTGGTGGGCACGTGCAGCGCGTCTTCCGGAATCACGAGACCAGGGAGTGAGCGTACACCGTCTTGGGATACCCAGGGTTGGACGGGCCTCCAGCCTGGCCAGGGCCTTCGCTCGATATGCACACGGTGACTTGAGTCCCAGGTCGTTCCACTGCACCTGCTCCACATATTCCCAGGAGTGACGAAGGTGTTTGGGTCGGGCCACCCGTCGCCGCAGCGCTTTTGCGACATCTCGTAGTGCTTGTCGCTTAGGATGTGCTGCGTGTCATCCACGGGCTCCTGGCAGATCTCGCACCAGTGGCGCCACCCGCCGTTGAAGAAAACCCAACGCATCCATGAGTACGTTCAAAAGCAGCTCGATTTGTTGACCAATTCGGGGTCCGAAACGATGCTTTTTTTTTTTTTTTTTTTTTTTTTTGCTTACGCCCCCCCCCTCTGAGAAAGAAAAAAAAAAAACATTGTCGACCAGCTTCGGGAAAAAAAAAAATCAGCCGCGCACCGTACCACCGAAAAAAAAAAAAAAAAAAAAAATAAAAAAATCAACGCCAGCAGAAAAAAAAAAAAAAAAAAAAAAAAAAAAAAAAAAAAAAAAAAAAAAAAAACACTACATACATTGTTTTTAATATAAAAACAAAAAAAACACACACACACACACCATAAGTTGATACCAGCGTGGCTGACTCCTCTCTCCTCCCCCTCCTCATCCCCCTCCTCCTCCTCGGCCTTGGCCCTTGCGCCCTCCTCATCCTCCTCCGCACCCTGGTCCTTGATCACCCTCCGTGGCAGGGAGCATCTTACGCCTCCTCCTCCTCCTCATCATCATCATCCTCCCCCTCCTCATCCTCCTCCTCCCCCTCCTCATCCTCCTCCTCATCCTCCTCCTCCTCCTCCATCCTCCGTGGTACTCCTCCTCCTCCTCCTCCATCCTCCCCTTCTCTCGCCTTCCATCCCTCCTCCTCATGCGCTCCCTCATATGATCCATTATATATGATAATATTTCACACGCCAGGGCTGATCGCCGCGGCTCCGCGTCTGGGCGCGGCTCGAACAAAACCAACAACTGCGGGGCGCTCGGGGCCCCCCTGTGTTTGGGGTTCTTGCATTGCCGACGATCCGTGTGAGGGGTGGGTCGTGATGGGCGCTGGTTGGGCGTCTTGGGACCAGACAGCACCAACGCAGTGGGAGTCTTGGGCGTCTTGGGCGTCTGGGGCGTCTTGGGGCGTACTCGAGAGTGAGATTGATAGTGAGATCGAGAGTGGTATCGGTCCAGGGCCCAGGAGGCCCTTCTCCGTAGCCATTTCTTGGCTTCGAGGCGCCCAGGCCAGCGCGCCAGGTGCCAGCGCCTACTCCAGCGCCAACACCAGCGCCAACACCAGCGCCTACACCAGCGCCAACACCAGCGCCTACACCAGCACCATGTCGCGCGGCCGTTGCAGCCAAGCGTTCCTGAGCGACTTGACGCAGCTCGCGCGCGATCACTGCGGCCAGGCTTGGACGGCGCAAGAGGACCCTCGCTACCTGGGATTGCTGTATTTCACGCACGAGGCGGGCGGCTGCCGATACACGGTGCCTGGCGCTGAGTCCAGCGTCACTGACAGGAAGGGCTTGCCAACATCAGAGGACATGCTTATTCGCGGAGTGCAGCCCAGCCAGAACTCGAGCATCGCCAGCGGCGGCGGCGCTCTCACCAGCGGCGGCGGCCAGGTGCTGACGGACACTATCGTCAGCGGCGGCGGCATCGGCGGAGGCGGCCGTGCGGGCATCGCGGCAAAGGCGGCGGCACCCGATGACCAGCAGGCGGGCGGCAAGGGCGGCATCGGCAGCGTCGGCGAGGGCAGCTACGTCATCATGGGCGGCGGCCCCGACATTACGGCAGCGTCTCAATTTCATCCAGTGTGGGACGCCCGCGCTTGGGTGCCAGTGCATGGCCCTCCAGGTCGGGTGCTGATGCAGGGGCCGAACGGTGATCTCATGGACATCAGCGCGCTCAAGGGCGGCAAGGGTACGTGGACGGGCAGCGGCTCCATTCCCATTCAGCAGGCGGTGCTTGCGGCGGCCCAGCCTATGGCGGCGGCGGCGCCGACGCCGACGACGCCGCCCGCGGCGTTCGGCTCGACGCTCACGGAGCGCGTCGCGCGGCCGCCAATGGTGCCACCGCCGCCTCATTTGGTGCGCAACAGCGGCGTCGGCGTCGCTGTCGGTTGGCCCAAGAGCAAGGCGCCCTTCATGGGGGGCCCGCCGTTGCCCACGTGGTCGCCTATCATGTCTGCTGGCTCGTATCACCCATACAACAATCCTTAGCTTGCCGACGGCTCTTGGGTAAATAGTTCAATTGATGTCTTTGCCCGAGGCTTATTCAGAAGCTGGCGCAACTTTTGCATCAAGATATGCCTAGCATATGCCTGGGGCGCAGCGCTCCACTTTTGTGTAACTCTGTTCGGTTTTCTAGATCCCAGCAAGTAATGGCTGGGGTACGCAGTACGCAATTCAATATGATGATCATTCGAGGCCGCCTCGAAGCTGAAACAAGTGGCTGAATCGATCCTCGATCCTCGCTCCTCGATCCTCGATCATCGATCCTCGATCCTCGATCCTCGATCCTCGATCCTCGCTCCTCGATCCTCGATCCTCGCTCCTCGATCCCCGATCCCCGATCCTCGATCCTCGATCCTCGATCCTCGATCCTCGACTCGATCCTCGCTCCTCGATCCTCGCTCCTCGATCCTCGATCTTCGATCCTCGATCCTCCATCCTCGATCCTCGATCCTCGCTCCCCTCCTCCTCCCTCTTCCCTGTTCTCCTCCTTCCCATCCCCTCTCTCCTCCCCAGAGTTTCGCACAGCGTTCCAGTCCAGTCCAGTCCTCCTCCTCCTCTGATCTGTCCTCCTTCCCTCCTCCGCCTTCTGGATCGTCCTCCTGATCTGTATCCTCCCTCCTTGCTCTTCTTGGGGTGGTTGTTGTTGTTGTGGCTTCCGCCTGCCGCCGCCTGGGCCAGCGACGACGACAGCGGCGACGACGACGACGAGACGTCCGAATCGGCCCGACCGAGGACGGCCGACAGCGACGGACGACCGACGGACGACCGACGACCGACGACCAGCGACGACTGACGACGGCCGACGACTCCCGACGACGACCGAGGACTAACAGCCTTGGGGGCGGGCTTTGGTCGGGGCTTCGGCGCGTACACCAGGGCCCCTGGGCCAGCCAGAGGCCGCTGGCGGGATGTCAGCGGCAAGTCGGTTGGCCCAGGGGGCCCTTGGTGCATGCGGTGGCCTTGGGGGCCGTCGTGGGGGAGGGGCCTCCAGGGGGGTGCCTATGCTAAGCTATGCTGTGCGCTGATATGCGGCACGAGCAATGCAGAGATATGCTATGGGATGTCATGCGCCGCTATGCGACGCTACTTGGTGCTATGTGAAGCTAGTACACTGCGATGATATGCAATGCGATGCTATGCAATGCGATGCTACGCGACGCTATGCGAAGCACACCGCTGTGCCGTATAAGTCCTGAGCCGTCTTGGGCCACCTCTGGGCAGTCTGGGCCGTCTTGGGCACGGGCCGTCGTGCGCGCCATAGGAGTTTCGGCTGCAGGCGACATCATGTCGTCGGAGCAACAAATTACCTCGTGTTTGAGAAAGTACGGCCAGCTCTGGACCACCACGTCACCAGACGCGCGATGGCCCGCGTTGCGGTTCAGCAGGTCAGCGCTTACTGGAGTTGTATTGGATTTGAATAGCACGGCCGCCGAACTTGATGCTGGCGACGTGAGGACAATGATTCGTGGTGCTGTGCCGAGTGCGCAGGAGTTGTTCACAACGGCCGGGGTGGTGGACCTCTTGACGCACCTCGGCGTGTCTGCGACGCTGGGCGCGTGGCAACGATGCGACGCTGAGGTTTTCTCGACCATGTATTGGGAGCGGAAGAGGAGCGAGAGGGCAGCCGCCCCGCCACGAGCACCAGCACCACCAGCACCAGCGCTGCGACGGAGGAATAATAAGCGCGTAGCAGCTGGTGATCGCAAATATGAAGATATGCCGAAGACGTTGGAGGCTTGCCAGGACATGATAAGAAAACTTCGCAGACAAGCGAGGTACAACGCGAAGAGGTTTGACATGCAGATGGGCCGCCAATCTACAAAGTACCAAGATTTGCACGATCGGTTCGCGATGGCAACGGAGGGAAAGAGGCGGAAGAAATCCGCCCAGAGATACCGCTTGTCTGTGAGAGGCGGGTTCACGTTGGCAGTAAAAAGAAACCTCGGCCATTCAAGCGCCGACGCCCTCTTGCAGCATTTGGAGGTACCAACGTCTCGGTTTACCATTGCACGCTGGGAGCAACTTGCAGCCTCTGCCGTCCTTGGAGTATCTCGGGCTTGGCATCAGCACAACTACGACTACATCAAGTTCATGCACGCTCAGCACGGGCAGATCGACGGGCCGCTCGGCGGGGCTCAAAAGCACTTCAGCTACGCTGTTCACTCGGTGAGGGGGGACGCGACGAATGCTAAAATTGGAGATTCCAAAGCTCACGTATGCGAGGTCGCCAGCATGTTTCAGCACTTGCCCGTTCGACATCGGGATTGCCCTGTCATGCCAATGAATGAGGTTAACAGCGTATACGCTGACGTGGTGCGGCTGCCCGATCCTTGTAAGGCACCGCAGCAGAGGGCCATCTTCCTGAAGCAGGTGCGTTGCGTCGGCGCTTCTGATTGGCTGCGCCACCCAATGCAGTCGGGCATTGCCGATGGCGACTGGGACCCGACCGTCGGCGACAGCCAGTACGTCTACGACAACTATTTCCACGTGACAGTGTGGATTTTCTCAACGGACCAGGGGGGCGAACAAGTTGGTGCAGCGGGCCTTTTGGGTGCGGATTGTCGGTGCCATAGTCTCATCCTGATGTTTCGGCAATGGTGCATGCTTCACGAGATGGCGCTCGTTGTAAAAAAGCAGTTGGGCTCATTCGGTACATATTGGGCGTCCCTGGCAAAAATCATAAACGTGTGGAGGACTGGGAACAACGCCTCAAAGATATTCGACACATTTTCAGCCATGTACGGCGAACGTCAGGCAAAGAGCGCCGTGGGGCGGTTGCCATCGAGGCCTCTGCGGGGGCGCTGGGGGTCTGCGTCAAAGACAGAGGGGTACTTGCTGAACGCGACGCGGGCGCAGCTGGTCCCAGCGTTCAAGGCGGCTCTGTTGGCACCTCCCCCCACTCGGCGGCGGCGGTCCGCAGTCCCCGACATCGACGAGGACTTCGCAGCGGAGGGCTACTCGGAGAGAGTTGGCAGATGGCTGAGAGAGGTGCCCGTGGGAAGATGGGGCGACGACGACGACGACGACGGCGACGACGACGACGACGACGACGACGGCGACGACAACGACGACGACGACGGCGGTTCGGAGGAGGGAGGCGGGAGGAGGGAGGAGGCCTCTAGCCGTCGTTACGGTCGTCGTTGTCGGCATCGTCGTCGTCGCCGCCGCCGCTGGCCCCGCAGGCGCTGGAGTGCATGGACGGGGACCAGTTCTGGGGCGACCTGCACATCGCCAACGTCTCCCGTGGAATTGTGGATCACATGACTCACTGGCTGCAGAAGTGTCAGGGACAGGATGGCCGCGCAGATATTCCCAATATCGTTGAGGTCGTGTGCGATAAGTGCGTGCAGATGCAGGCGGATTTTGACCAGCTCGTCGACGACGACGTCATGGCCGTCGTGTGGGGCCGATTGTTTGCTGTCGTGGGGGGGCGCGGCACGGCGTATTGGACTGGTCGCATCGTTCAGTTTTCACTTGAGGTGTTCACCGATTTTCATTGGCGAGTGGTGCGGGCCTCGCGGCAGTTCCCCCGTCGGCTGGCATGGCTCGTTTGGAAGCTCCCCCACGAAGAATGCGACATGCGCGCGCAGGTTGCCTACGACCTTCTGCATTTGGACCCGCGCGAAATCAAGGACGAGGCATCGCTGAAGTTTGGGTACGTGTTCGCGCGCGAGCTGTACGACACCGCCACGGTTGGCCGCGGCAAGATACCCCTGAGCATATACCAGTTCTGCGCGACATCTTTTTCATGTGGAGGCTAGACACACAGGAAATCGAAGGAGTAAATTCGGTGCTGAAGTACTGCACGCAGTTATCATCTAACTTGGGGTGGAAACTGATGTCTGCAAGGACAGTCCTTAAGAAGCGTCTCCTGATGTGCGCGGATTCCGACGCCAGGAAGGAGCTCGTCGAAAGCTTCGTTGCCTTTTTCGACGACGCCCGAGATGTCGCAGCTGATGCCCCGATTCGGTTTAGGAAGGTCTCGCTGGATGAGTTCCCCCTTGCTGGTATCCCTCGCGACTGGGGGGTGCACGAGCCGACGATTCACGACGGCTGTGCAGCTCGCTTCATCATTGCGCTCAAACACGTGTTCAAGAATGCTGGCATTGCCTGGGACAGGTCTTCACGATTGGTCCTCCAGGTTCTCCTAGCTTAGCTATTCCCCCACCACGTCCCCCCTCCCCCTCCCCCGTCCCGCACCCCTTCCCCGAGGGGGGAGGGCGGCCGCGGCAGGCGAAACGGAGGGTGGGGAGGGGAGGGAAGATGGTGGCCTCAAGATACGGGAAAAGGGGGTTGAGATTTTGGAATTTTGACAGGGAGGATCCTTTTGGCCCCCCTCCCCACCCCACAGGTGACCGTGGACGGCGGCGACGACGGCGACAACGACAACGCTGAGTTCTGGATCATGTCCATGAAGTTTCGTACTACGATCTGGTGCACGCGGGCAGTTGACTCGGGCACTGATGGGAGCGCGGGCATGGGGGCCGTGGCGCTCAGCCTTCCGCTGGAGGCGGAACCCTTGCTGGAGGTGCTCAGCGGGTCCCACGCTAGGTGCATTATACCCGTCGCCGATGGAGACGGCGTCGCATTATCCCAGGTCGCGAGCATGAGGGTGGCCGTCCACGAGCTGGCGTGGGACCTCGGCTCCAACCAGGTGGCCTCCATCACGGATGCCATCGGGGAGGTTTGCCTCGAATACGTGTGTCGCTGCTGTGGCGGCCGCCGCCGAGGCCGCCGAGGCCCTGGCGGCGGCGGCGGCGGCGGCGGAGGCCGCGGTGGCCGAGGCCGCGGTGGCATTGGCCGCTTTGGGCGGCGCGGGCGAGCAGCCCCAGGCGGCAGGGGCAGAGGCGGAGGAGGCGGCAGAGGTAGAGGTGGAGGAGCAGGGCCAGCTGGCCGCGGCGATGCCTGGCTCGAAGGCACGTGGGTGGCAGAGGAAGCAGCAGACCCGCCGCCGCGCGCGGCAGCTGGAGGGGGCGCTGGCGGCGAGGTGGCCGCCCATGCACTTGCAGCCGATGATAGTGATGATAGCAGTGGCGATTCCGATGGCGACGCCGCGCCGCGCGTTGATGAAGACGCCGCCGCCGCCAAGGAGCTCTTGCAAGACTTTGCTCACGACTTAGAGGCGTACGCGGCGCATGGAGGGGGCGACGGCGACGTCGAGGGCGCCGACGGAGACGACGAGGACGCTATCGGGAAGGAAGAGGAGAGGCAGGCTGCTAAGTTCCTGGACGCCGCAGCTGGCGACGATAAGCTGGATGGCGTTGCTGGTTTGCTGGACGTCGCGCTGGGCGGCGGCGCGTTGATCGAGGACGCAGTCGACGCGACCCTCAATGTCAAGTTCCAGTCTGATAAGGACATCACCGACGGCGAGGCTCGGGGGCCAGCGGAGCATCATGCCGAGCCGCCTCTGCCACCGCCCCCTGGCGCCCCGCCCCCTCTCGGCGGCAAGGGCCGCGATGGCGACGACGCGATCATTGCGAAGTGGGCAGACTCAGTAAAGGACAGCATCCGTGCATTCGAGCAGTGCATAGTTGCCTGCCGCCATCGTCCAACGGCGCGCGACGTGGGGCTGATCATGCGCTCGGTGCAGCTGGACGGCGGCAACGATAGCCCGATAGTTCACCACGTTAGCTTTTGTTATTGGGACCTCGCCCCGAGCGACGACGACGATTTTATGTGGAAGGCTCGCCCACTTGGAACACTTAAAAGTCATGACCAGCATGTGTTGTCTTATGCACAGCCTGCGTCGGCCATTGATTTAACTGAGGACATTGTCAGCGGACGCTGCCGAGTGCTGCTTGGGGTCACTGGTATGCGCATGAGCAAGCCTCGAGATATGAGGGAGCCGATCCCTAGGGACATGATGAGGCTGAGCCACATCTTCAGCTCTTTCTACGACTCCGACTCACCAGGCCATGATCTCGAGACAGACGTGGGCGTGGCTGGCAGAGCGAGTTGGGCGAGGAAGGGCGTCGCATTCGAGCACTGCGAGATCTGCGGCAAGGACGTCATATATGTGGGCGCAGAATATGGAGATACAGTGGCTCACCACGCAGAGGTTTGCCCATTTTGCAGGATATGTCAACACAGCGTGTGCTCAGCCAGACTCGGTCGCGACTTACTTGATTCTGGCACGGCGAAGGGGTACAACATCTTGAACGAAGTGCTTTCACTGGACGAGTTCGGCTGGGACTGCGAACGCATTCGCGTCTGCGCGGTGGACTTTTTCGACGATCGCAAGTTCGTTAACGCCTCTTCGTTTTGTGGCGTGTGCCAGGCCGCCATAGGCCCTGACTTCCATGAGTTGGCCGTGAACGCAGAAGTTGATATCAGCGCGGGTGACGTTGGTGGGGGTGACGGTGGCGACACGGAGCCCGACCTGTTCGCTTAGGAGCCAGCCCCCTCTCAGTTACGGCAGGCTCCGTGCCCTCTGGCCCCGCGGGGGCCGCCGCCGCCGCCAGGTCCGACTGGCCCGCGGCTCCAACCGCCTCTCGGCTTGTCGCTCGCTCGCTCGCTCCTCCTCCCCCTCCTCATCCTCTAGGACGTCTGCGTTTTTGGGGAGTCGGCCTCTGGAGGCCATCGGCCCGTCTGGGTGCTCGTCGCGGCCTGTGGTGCCCTCGCAGCAGGCCGTACACCGCCCACTGGCCGTGGAGCCCACGGTGCATCAGGCTCAGGGTGGCTATCGGCGCCCTGGGCCCTGCGGTGACGTCGCCTGTCACATCCACGAGACTTGGGCGGCGTGCGGCTTGTTGGGGCCTCGGCTGGACGAAGCTCGGCAGAACTGGCATTCCATCCCTCCTCCTCATGCGCTCCCTCATGTTATCAATTATATATGACAATATTTCACACGCCAGGGCTGATCGCCGCGGCTCCGCGTCTGGACGCGGCTCGAACAAAACCAGTAACTGTGATACCTCTTGGGCGCTCGAGGCCACCCTGTGTCTGGGGTTCTTGCATTGCCGACGATCCGTGTGAGGGGTGGGTCGTGATGGGCGCTGGTTGGGAGTCTTGGGACCAGACAGCACCAACGCAACCGAGTGTCTATGGGCCTTTTGTGTGATTCGTATCTCGGGGAGAGATTATCTTGATTATGTTATTGCTCAGTTGGTGTGGCTGTCCTTTGCACCGTCAGCACCTACACCAGCAACGCCTGCACCAGCGCCCACCAGTGCATCGAGTGGGACGTCTGCCAGCAGCTGCCAGCCGATTGGGCAGTCTAATATCGGATACAGGCCCAACGCCCCGTCGACCCATGGCTCTCTTGGCAACTCTGGGGTTAGGCCACAGGAGGCCAGCGGGTGTAGGTTGGGGGCTCCCCCCAACAGGGAGCGGGTGTAGGTTGGGGGCTCCCCTCAACCTGGGGCGTGGGTTGGGGGCTCCCCCCAACGGAGCGGGTGTAGGTTGGGGGCTCCCCCCAACGGGGGTGGGTGTAGGTTGGCCCCCCCCCCAACGGACGGGGCGTAGGTTGGGGGCCCCCCCCAACCTGGGGCGTAGGTTGGGGGCTCCCCCCAACGGAGCGGGTGTAGGTTGGGGGCTCCCCCCAACGGAGTGGGTGTAGGTTGGGGGCTCCCCCCAACGGAAGGGGCGTAGGTTGGGGGCTCCCCCCAACCTGGGGCGTCGGTTGGGGGCTCCCCCCAACATGGATCGGGTGTAGGTTGGGGGCTCCCCCCAACCTGGGGCGTGGGTTGGGGGCTCCCCCCAACGGAGCGGGTGTAGGTTGGGGGCTCCCCCCAACGGGGTGGGGGTTCGTTGGGGGCTCCCCCCAACGGAAGGGGCGTAGGTTGGGGGCTCCCCCCAACCTGGGGCGTAGATTGGTGGGGCTCCCCCCAACAGGGAGCGGGTGTAGGTTGGGGGCTCCCCCCAACCTGGGGCGTGGGTTGGGGGCTCCCCCCAACGGGGGGGGGTAGGTTGCCCCCCCCCCCCCAACGGGGTGGGTGTAGGTTGGGGGGCTCCCCCCAACGGAAGGGGCGTAGGTTGGGGGCTCCCCCCAACCTGGGGCGTAGGGTGCCCCCCCCCCCCAACCGGGAGCGGGTGTAGGTCGGCGCCCCCCCCCCAACCTGGGGCTTGGGTTGGGGGCTCCCACCAACGACGGGGGGTGTAGGTTGGGGGGCTCCCCCCATCGGGGTGAGTGTAGGTTGGGGACTTCCCCCAACGGGGGGTGTCGGTTGGGGGCTCACCCCAACCTGGGGCGTGGGTTGGGGGCTCCCCCCAACGGGGGGGTGGGGTTGGGGGCCCCCCCCAACGGAGTTGGCGTAGGTTGGGCCAAGACGGCTCCAAACGATGCTGCGATATACCATCCCATTCCACGTTCCCTCCTCATGGACCCCGTGGTGGTATGATGATGGCATGATGATGATGATTATGATGATGATGGCGATGATGGTGATGATGGTATGATGACGATGGCTATGATGGTGATGATGATTGTGTCCTTATGTGTTTGGGGTTCATGCGTTGCCGACGATCCGTGTGAGGGGCGGGTCGCGATGGGCGCTGGTTGGGCGTCTTGGGCGTCTTGGGGCCAGAAAGCAACAACACAACATGCTCCGTGGTCACGAGCCCCTGCCTGATATCATCCTTATCAATGTTGCTTGGAACGTTGATGTCCATAGCCCGTTGGGTGTCAAGTGCACATATTGAGTGCAGTTTTTTCGGTACCATGCCTCCTGCCCAACAGTTTTTCACAAAGCTGAACCCACGCTCCCCGTACGAGAAGCCCGTGGAAGTTTCGTCGGCCGATGATGCTTTCGACTGGGTCGAGCACGCCATGGCCAAGCTCGTCAACAACGGCGGTATCGATGCTGATACGTTCAAGCACACCTTCACAAACCGAGTGATCAAGTGCAGCTCATGCTTCTCTGGCGCTGGGTCGCCCGAGCTTTCAGATGCAATGATCACGGATTACGTCCAGAAGCAGATCGGCGGCACCGACAAGGCAATTATCTACGAGCCAACATTTGTCATCGAGAAGGGGTGGAAATGCAATGATGAATTGATTCGGACCCCTGGCCCCCGCGGCCCACCGCATCACATATTTTCCGATCTTCTCGATTTCATGCCGATGTCAATCCAGAAGCAGTGCGGCATGCACAAGAACAAGGAGCTACCGCCTGCGAAGCTGAAGCAGATCATGCCCATGTGTGTCCCGAGGGAAAAGGGATGGTGCGCTAAATGTGGCGACTTCTGCATTTTGCCTGTGAGCGACTACCACAGGGCCGTCTCCCCGTACACCGATGCTTGCGGTACCGCTGGGTCGGGCCCGAACGCCAAGTACGTATGCGCATGGGCGGCGGCGATGCGGTCGCGGCAGCCGAAAGTTATCCTGTACGAGGCGCTGCCCAACATCGGTTTCGGAGAGGTGGTGGAGCTCTTGTCCGACATCTACGTTTTCATCAACTTAGAGGGGCTTGATCCTGACAAGCTTGGCTGGCCAGTGAGCCGCAAGAGGAATCACGCACTTATCATCCTGAAGAGTTGGCTTGCCCCGCAGATCTCGGGGGCGACGTCTCTCTGGTGGGCCATGTTCAACGACGCCGAGCACATCAACATGAACGGCACTATCGAGAGGTTCTTGCATCGAAGCCTAGGCCCCGACTACACGTTCAGGCTCTTCATGATTGCGAACTCCGTTGAGATGAACCGCATCAAAACTTGGATGGCCTCGCGGGACTCGGTGCGGAAGCGCTACTCGGAGCTCGGCGAGGACGTGCCCGACTTCGAGACCATCACTTTCCAGCAGGCACTCTCCAAGACCGAGTTGGAGCGGTCGGAGCTGTATGCGGCCAAGTGGCCGCGTGACACGGGCGACCTCGACAAAAACCCTGGAACCTGGAGAGCGCGCAGGCCAGTGCGCCACGTGAGAGATGGAAAGCGCATCGCAATCACCAGCAGCTCAGGCATCATTTGGCACAATGACTCGGAGCGCCCTGTACTTCCTGCGGAGCTGGCGAGCATGATGGGCTTCCCTGTGTCGCTGCAGCACCAGATGCGTTCAGGCGTTGCGCATTCGTACTCTCGGGGGGTCGCGCCTCCCGCATCTCGCACAATCAGGTCGCAGCAGAGCCAGATCGGCCACAGCATGCATGTCAATGCAGTCGGCGGCTGCACACTCCTTGTCACGACAATCTTCCAGAACCTTGGCAGCCGTCACGCCGTCGAGGCGCCCTCGCCTGCTTCGTCCTCGAGTTCCAGGCGTGCGCAGCGGCGACCCAGGAGTGCGTTTGCCCAGGCGTTCCAGGTTGTGGTGAAGAGGCAGAAGACGTTGTGATTGAGCGCGTTGAGGAGTCGGTCGGGCCCACTGGGCCGACCCAGGCGGCACTGCCGTGTTTCAAAGGTCTGAACGCATCGGGGGTTTCGCGTCAAGTCGAGTTGTCTTGTTTATTCAGACCATGCCCCTGAGGACTGTTTGCAGTCCGCGAGGTGTGCAAACATCTCGAGCTTTTTACGTTTCTTCCCCAGCCAGCAGCAGATCGATGATTGCGATGATTGCAAGCCTCGGGCGAAAGATCTTGCCATCCTGCTGCCATGGGGCCCTGCGTTTCGGATCACCCGTCCGCGCTTTTAGGTCACCCCCAGGGCCGCCTCTTGGGGGCCTCTGCCTGCGGGGCATCGTTTGGGCCTGATGCTGATGACGATGGTTGCGATGATGACGACGACGGCGATGAAGACGACGATGACGATGCTGATGCTGATGCCGATTCGAAGGAGCCGTCTTGGAGCCCTCTGGGGACCCCCTTGGAGCCGAGAGGGCCAAGAGAGCAACTAGAAATGGAGCAGCCATGGCGATCTGAATATCATAATATCTTGTTCGGCCGTCTTGGAGTCCTCTGGGGGCCCCTTTGGAGCCACTTGGCGGCCCTCTTGGGGCGCTCCTGCAGCCTCTTGTGAGGGCCCGCCGAGCCTCCAGAGGGCCTCGAAAAGGGGCCCAAGAGATATTCATATGGCCATGGCCATCTGAATATCTTTTTCGGCCGTCTTGGAGCCCTCTTGGAGCCCGCTTGGGGCCTCCCCCCAGTGCCTCCTCCTCCTCCTCCGCCTCATCCTCCTCCTCCGCCGCCTCCTCCTCCTCCTCCGGCCTCGGCGCGGGGCTGCGTTGGGCGAGCGTGCTGCAGGGGGCCTCGGGCAAGGCCAAGCAACTAGGCTTGTTGCTTTTCGTGTTCCCCTCGCGGGGCTCCTTGGGTCGGTGAGCCCATGGGCTGGGGGGACCTCGACCTCGCCCCCCGTCCCCTTCCTCGGGCCTCAGCTGTCTTGGCTGGTACAGCCAGCCGTGCGATCGGATTCGCTCTGAACCTGTGCACTACGGTTCTACGTGTTCCCCTTCTTCGGCGGCGATGGGCGGCTCGAGGTCGGGCTCAGGCTCATCAGGCTCTTCGACGAGTTCGCGCAGGTCGA